CGGGTTGAGGGGGAATGTGGGGGCGAGGCGGTAGGAGAGGGGGAGCCCACGAAGCTGTGGACCTGTAAAGTGTTCGGGGCAGGGACAAGGTGCGTGGGCCTGCGAGGGGGGCGCACACACCTCCCCGCACCACAGGCCTCGGAAAAACACCTTAATTTCTCTTTTAATTATCGATATCTTGTAATGTTTCAGAGTCTGTTGTCATGGATGGAGACACAGAGTATGACAAAGGTAACGTGAGGTGGTTTAAAAAAAAAAAAAAAGACCACACGACCCATAATCTTAATTTAAATCATGTTTGAGAATAATTTAAACCTTTTGTTTTTCTTTCCCCTCAAGTTGAAGATGTTGTGGGCTGCCACGTTGAAGATGCTGTAACATTTTGGGCGCAGGTGAATTCAGAGAACTATTTGATTCTAACTGAAGTGTTTACTCTTACCCTCCCTCCCTTCCCCCCCCCCAGCAAGTTTCTGTGGAAGTGAGAATAAATGATAGCATTTGGTGTTGGGGAAAAAAAAAAGTTAAATTTCAGAATTTCAAGTATTATTTTAAACTGGAATTGCTCATTCATCCATTTGAATTGTAGCTGAGTTTTCTTGCATATTTGGTGGGCCAAAAAAAAAAATTTGAGGGTTAAAACATTTGCTGTTGAGTGAAGAATACTGTAGGAGGTAGTTGGAGCCCTGCTGGGGTCAGATCCCCTACTTCTGGCTGAGCATTTGGGGCAGTTTCAATGAAGCATGACATGGAGGTGGTTAAAGGTGCTAGGTCCTTTTAAGCTTGGTGTAGAGGGGCAGGAGGATGTTGGATGAGGAGAGCAAGGGAAAGTAAAAAAACCCAAAATGTAGGGGGTGCAGCATGAATAGGGGAAAAATTCAGGAGTACAAAAGCTTGCATTTTTGTGTGGCCTGCTGGCTAATTGGTGTGTGCATGTTAGTCAACACCTGTGTAGCTTTGAGACAGTTGGAGGAGGTAATGTTGATTGTCATGTCCCTAATGGGAGTTCGAGGAGGGGGACCAAACTTTACTCATTCGGTTTATGGAATAGCTTCTTATAATAAAGGGTTTTTTAGATGTAACAGCCATAGGTAGTTCTCCTTTAGGTTCTTACCCTGGCATTCTGAGACTCAGTCACAGTGTTTTATTTAATATTGTAAGGTACAAAAGTTAGGAGTGTACTTAGAAGGTTAACAAAATATTTAGTTGTAGTAGTGTGTTCTTTCCTGCTCTGAGCTCTGGATCCTTTCCTTTGAATTACAAGTAGAACATTGTCTAATGCCATGTTACTGGAACTGACCCAGTTTTATAGTGGTTCAGATACCAAGTTATAACTGGAGAGACTCTGCTTCTCTCAGCCAAACCAAAACCCAAGTCTGGCTTGTAAAGAGAACGAGGGGTATGCCAAAGCTGTTGTCTCGTCGTATGAAGGAGAGAAAGAAGAACACCACCGAATACTTAGTATTAAAATTTGTGAGGAAGGAATGGTAAGGATGATCTGCACGCTGCTCACAGAAGCTGGTAATTAAGTTGTTAAAAATATTTGTTGGAAACTATTTCTCTGGGGTACATTACCTGCCCCTGATCGGTTGCGTTAATTTTTGGAAGAAAATGAGAGCAGGCTTACAAGTGCAGCTAAAATCATGAAGATTGAAAGCTTAAGGTGGGGCATTACTTATCTCAACAGCAGTGCAACCGTTTAGGTTTATTTTTGGCTGTTAGAAGCCATCAAGCATCTGTTAAAAGTGATAGTTAATAACTCGTACCCTCTCTCCACACTTCTTAGAATGTCAATAGATGTGATGACCTCTTGAAATTAAGTCATGTACTGGCAGAAGCTTGTCCTCGGGCTAACGGAGTTTTTGGCAAACTTGATTTTAGTAAGGTAAGTAGGTTACGTATATGTGGAGTTTGTTTTTCACCTGGATGTCAAAGCCTTAATTCTATGCAGCCATTTTCTTAGGTATTTTCTTGATCTTTGATTATGCTGCAGGTTATATTCTCTTAAGATCTCTTTAAGAACTCCTGGCTTTCCTAAAGAAAATGCTTATTTTGTGTGAGCAAGTTTAAATTTTTCTGCACTTCGGACTTCAGTGAAATTATGCAACCATAGGGGTTTTTAACACTCAGGAAATATTACAAGAAGTGTAGAAGATATTACAAAAACCTGTAATGTGAAATGCACCAGACAAACTACTCTGAAGAAAGTAACATTTGATAGCAGTTTTAGGACAGGCATACAAAGAGCGATGGCAACTTTTGTTTTTGCTGTGAACTGCTGGTGGCTTTTTGCAAAGTAAGGCTTAAATAAAATGATTTGTGCGAACCGTTTGTATGTGCAGGACCTTCTACATTCCTCTTGAAAAGGAAGAAAATGCACCACCAGCAAAGCCAGCACGTTTGTGGTGTGACTGGCTTCTTGCTTTGTCGGCCTTGCTGAGCCGTCAGTGTCAGTAAAATGCTGTAGCAACACCTTAACAGAAAAGCTGTGGGAGTCTGCTGTGTACAATGTTGGTGTTTTTCTAGTTGCAAAGGTTTTTTTGAGCTGTTGTTTTTGGGATAGAGGACTATGTTTTTGAAGTATCCAGTATATATTGTTATGAGAGATAGGATATCAAATGCATTAGTTTTTCATACTGCTTTTGGGATGATTATGGGAGAGTGTGAAAATAATTTGCAATGTATTACAAATACCATTTTGAGATATGCTTCTGTTTTCAGAATGCTGGTTTTGATCTTTTTTTCCTAATTTCCAGATTTATGGTGGGTGTTTTTCTGAAGACAGATGTTGGTACAGATGTAAGGTACAGCGAGTGATCAACAATGAAAAGGCAGGAACCATTTTTTAAAAGTCTTTAATCATATATTGGTTCTTCATGCAGGGTGATAGGAATAAATGCAACTCCTCTTTTTGAAACTTGCTGTGTGAATGGATTTAAAAACAATGAATATACATGTGGGACACAAATTCAAGTGACCTGTAATTTTGGAAAATGCCGATGAAACGAGTGGCAAAACATGACATTGTGTAGTGCTGTTTGTATCTCTTGATAGAGAGATTAATGAGTGGTAGTTAATGTTCTTAATGTAATTTAATTTCAAAACTTCTGAGTGGTGAAAATGGCAGCTTTCCTGTGACACGTTAGCACTGATGCAAATGGCCTGAGAGCTGTTAATCAGCATTAGGTGACTGATACAAAAGGTTAGTAGTGCCTATTCAAAATGATAATTTCTAGACAGGCTGGTTGGCATGGAAACACTAGATTACATATCTGCCTGTTGGAGAGAGTGTTCTATATTTCTTCTTAATTGTAGCCCTTAGAGGAAAAAGAATTCCAGTAAAGATCTGTTTTGTTAAAGTTTTGTTGCAAAGCGTTTAGACAGGTGCCAACATAAGAGGTTCCTCTCAGTTCCTTCCTCTGAAGGGTGTCTTAAGCTTAGTACAGAAGATTCTGATCTCTGCAACATGCATGTGTGTTAAAATGCTTATATTCTAGTAGTTGTCAGTGCATATTTCTGTAGGAGGTTTGTGTAACCTCTGCTGATTTATATTTTATATTATTGCTGCAGTGTCAGGTATTGTACATTGACTATGGAAATTCCGAGGTTCTGAATAGGTCAGACATAGTTGAAATTCCACCAGACTTGGAATATCCCAGTGTTGCCAAGAAGTACAGGCTCTGGGGACTGCAGATACCAAACGATCAAAAGTTAAACATGTTTGACCAGGTGAGTAACAGATTTTGAAGCATTGGGATGATGGGGTCTGTAACAGATGCTGCCAAATATGAGCATAGTGTCACCAGGAGGAGCATTCTGAGGGCTGGGTGTTTAACTGTGAAGGCAGAGCATGCTGGGAAGGACTGTCTGATCTGTTGCCCTGCATATACTCTAGAAACTAAAATGGTCTTGTCAAAAACGTTTCATGCTGGGGAGTGATTTTTAGAGTACGCTTTTGGCATCTTTAGAGCCTCAGGTCTATTTCTGACTGACCTGAGTTCTTTTCTTGTGCTGAGGAAACGAAGTACTTCTGTTTCTTTCCCTTCAGAGGGAAAAATACCTCCCTTGGTCCCAGAACCTGTGATAAGTTCATTTACGTCTGTGGGCTGCTTGAATGCTATGTACCTGGGTGCTGTACAAACTTTTGGTCAGAGAGAACAGCAGGTGAATGTGAGCAGTCATAGGAACCCTGTTGTCCCTGGCCAGCAGTCAGCGTGAAGGGCTCAGGAGGTGGTGCCAACAGGACTGGTAGAAGCTTTGAGCCCTTCTGAGTGGCACTGGTGACCCTTGGTTGAGTTTTACTGGTGGCAGTCTCCCTTTCTGGGACACCACTGACAGTCTTAATGGCACGCTTCTTCAAGGCTTGTCGTGGGCCCGTGCTTCACCAGCCGGTGGCTTGGGAGCAGCAACTGCTGGAGGAGGAGGTGGGGAGCGGCTGTCCTGCTTGCCTGGTCCTGTCCCTCTGTTATTTAGAGGAGATTCTGAGACCCGTTGTGTTTCGTCCCTGTGGTCCTATTGACATTACGTAATGTGGTTACTTAAGACAGATGAAAATCTCTGTTCTCATTTCCCTGGGGTTTTGTTTGTTGGTGTGTTTTTTGGTGTGTTTTTTTTTTTTAACAGTTCTTGTTGCTTGAGCTAAAGCTTTATTTGCTTGCTCTATGTAGCCTTTCTGGCCCCACCCCTTCTATTCTTAAATTACAGCAAAACCTTGTTTTCAGAAGTGGTGGGGCAAAAAGAAAAAAAAAAACAAACAAACCAGCACTCCTGTTAATAAATTTTCTCCCAGATGTCTTGTGAAGGTCTTGAGTGCATTCCCCAGTCTTTCAAAGCTGTTTTGCTCTGATATTACTAATGAAACTGATAGCTGCCAATTCTGGCATTTCCCAGTTTCTAAATGAGTAGTTTCAGTAAGGTAGACTTCCATAAGGTAGGTGCACATAATTCATTTATCACTATGTTCTTTTTCAACTTCTGGACCACTTACTGAAAAGCTGTTAAACAATGTGATAATTCAGATTCTTTTTCATATTATTTTGTATGATACTGTTAAATAGTTGGTCTGTTATCCTTTAAAAGACTTGGATATTGTGGTTGAGAGTTGATGGGACTTTGGACTTCTATCACTTACAAATGATGCTGAATGTTGAGGGAGAACTGTTGGTGTTGAAGTCCAGTTTGGCATTGACAGTGATTAGATCAGGTATGGTTGTAGTTGTACACATACAGCATTGTTTCAGAATAAATGTGTTAAACATAAGCTTTACATGAGCAGCTCTTTGGGTTTTGGTCATACATGTCCTCTTTTTCTTAGAAGGAAGATGGCTGTTCCAGCTAAAAGTATGTGGAATGGCCAGTGTGCAAGTTCATTGTATTTTTGTTTTACAGGGGAGGGAGTTCTTGAGCAGCCTAGTTTTTGAAAAAGAGATAAAAATACATCACAAAGCCAAGCACGAAGATGGTACCATTATTGCCCAGGCAGAATTTGAAGAAACAGATATTGGAGAAGAGGTGGCCAAGGCAGGGTTTGCTGCAAAATGCACATCTCCAAGAAACAGTAAAGATGCGGAAGAGAGAAAAGTAGATGTCATGCAAGGCCACTGTCGTAAGATAAAAGCTTCGGCTCCACTGTGGACAAACAAGTTTAATCACGCGCTGCACCGCAGCCCAAGAGGGCGTTTTGACTACCTAGCTGCCAGGTCAAGGAATCAGAATTTTGCTGGGAATCGCATGTTTGCCCTGAAGTAAGGCAGCGGGATGTCATGGAAAACTTTGTATGGGTGGTCTGATTAGCTTGGTTGTTGGGATGTGGGTGTATGAGAAGATGGAAGGGGAAGCGATTGTCTAAAGTACAAAGTGCAATTTCTGTCTTTGCAGCAGTACTCGGTGGAAGGGAGGTGTATGTGAGTCGCTCTGTGTGTGTGTGTGCATGCTGTGGTGGTGGGAATTAGGACACTAATCTGTGGAAAACTATTGGTTAGTGTGATTGCTGGTTGGATGGCTTGTTCTTCCTCATTCGGTTTCCAGAGGCAGACTGTTCTTATGTGTCGTAATGCAGGACTGTGAAAAAGAAGGAAGGGGTAGCAGCTAGTAAGCAGAGGAGAAGATACCAGAAGGCTTAGTTGAACACCAAGGTTGCAGGACATCAGGCCTCTAGCAGATTTTGCAGTGACAGGCAATGCAATGGTGTTTGTTTTATCATCTGTGTAATTTCCATAGGCTTGTCCTTGAGACTTTTTGTAGCGGTCCCCTGTTTATTTACCACTATTAAAAACTCACTGGACACAAACGTGGAGTGTAGAAGTATACTTACCAATTGGGACAAATGGATTTCTGTGATTTATTTGTGTAGGAATGTAACAATGTGTGCTTATAAGAAATAAAGCCAGCAATCACAGTCTGAAGTAAGCTTTAGGGGATAACGGTGTCTCTACAACTTGTAATTACATTGACAAAAGGTGGTGGTAAATTGGTAGTTACAGTTGTTGTCAAATCTTTATAAAGAGACTTGTCCTACAGTTGCTAGGATTGCCTTGGCAACAGGCTGCTGAGAAAAATGTTTGTGGGTGGGAAAGATGGTACTTGGCATTCAGAAAGTTGAGATGGTGAAAGAACTAATGTTCTCCAACAAACTTGTTTAGAATTTGCCGATCTATAATTTGAGCTTCTTGAACACTTTAATGAATCACCTGAGGGCACACCCTTTCAAATACCAGCATGGTATCCAAATCTGCTTTACAAATAGATCGTTTAGGCAAGTCTATGCTGTTAACAAATACTAAAATGAAATGAAGTACTCTTCAAAAAAAGGCTAAATTTACACTGAAGTGCCTCATCCTGAATTACTTTGATCTGCCGTTTTCTGTGTTATAGATATGTCCTGAATCTGTTTTATAAAAGAAATAGCTTTTTTTTTTTGTGTGTGTGTGTGATGCACAGTGTTGAGATACTTTTGGGTACAAAGCTATCCTGACTGGCCTGAGCAGCTGACAGTCAGCAGATTATGTATTCCATTTCTGTATGTTCTGGTGTCCTTTAACTTATTGCAAATTGCAGGCATATTTGGGGTGGTGTGCCTGTGAAGGAAACTGAGAAAGAAAGAAAGAAGTTAGGGTGTAACCAAAGCCGTGCAGGTGAGGATGAAGTTGATGTGGGGTCTAGTGGAGCTTTAGTACTGTACAGTACTGTCACAGTACTCTGAGACTTCACGTCACTCTTCTTCATTATAAAAATAATTTTTAGGGTATAGATGCAAAACACTAACCTCAGAGTTCTTTGGCTTATTTAGTAAATAGAAGATTCGAATTACAATGGACCTTGACCTTTCTGGGTCTGCAGTGTGGGATTGTAAGATGCTTTTTGGATGTGAAAGACTTTTGAGTTAGTGACTGAAAATGTGTGAAGGGTTGTCTTCAAATGATGTATGTTTTTTTCCCTTAGTGTTGTGTGACAGTCTTTGTAAAGGCTGGTGTGGAGAGGGATACGAATTCTGAAGAAGTTAAGCATGATTGTGGAGGTGCTTCTATAGCCTTTTTGATGTGGTGGCATATTTATTACTGTAAATTACAGTAGCATGAAAGAATGCACATTGTGTGGGTTTGTTTTCTTTTTAAATTAATTAATCTTAATTAATTTTTAAAAGGGAAAAACCACTGGCTTTTGCCTCAGTGCCAGACACCAGCTTGGCACAAACAAGACAAGATTGGAAGCTGTCTGAAGAGAAAGAAGTTCTCAGAAGGGAGAATGTAAATCTCTTGCAGAGGCAGGAGGAGCTAGAACT